CGGGTGGCCTGGTGCTGGCGGGCACCAGGTGCTGGGGGGGAGGACGCAGACCCCCTCCCAAGGTGAGTCCTGGTCCCCCCACCTTCCTCACCACCAGCCTCCGGAGCAAAGAGCCCGAGGTGGGCTCCAGCCCCACCCCTGTCCCCAGACGCCTGTGCTGCACCCGGTCATCGCTGCCAGGGCTTCTCCCATCCCTGGGCGGGCAGCACCCCCGGGCAGGGCTTGGCTCTCCTGCCCATCCGGGGAGGTGGAGCCCGGGCGGCCCCTGAACGGGGGAGACGGCTCTTTCTCACTGGAGAGAGGGCAGGCTGTCGACATCTCCCCCATTCCTTCAGCACGGTCCCCGTCTCCCTGTCCCATCACAATGCCCCAGCCGGGAAGGCGGTAACCTCTTCCCAACCCTCTCTCGGCAGGAGGACGGTGCGTGCCGTGGCGTCTCCGGTCTAGCAGACTGCTGAACAAGTTCAAATGTCTCGGGGGAAGGAACAAGTCGCCATCAGAGGCGGCCGGCAGAGGAGTGGGACCGGTGGAAAGCCAAGACCGGGCACGGATGGTCTTCTGGCCTGGGAAGGAAGGAGAAGTAGAGGATAAACAAGGGGTCACGGCAAACGTAGCCCAAAGCAGAGGATTCCCACTTCATCCAGTGATGGAAAAACAGAACAAAAAGGCAGATCCTCAGGAGTGTCTGCATGGTGACCCTACGGAGAGGTTTCAAAGGAGTGCCCAAAAAAGTCAATGCAGCTTGGGAGAAGTGACGTTTCTCCAGGGAGATAGGGAACTGTCTGTCGAGGATCTGAATGAGACTATTTTGAAAGACCACTGTTACTGTGTGATGAGTGAGACGTGGCTCTTGCGTTGCACCCCACGTCCGTGTCCTCTGAGAGAACACGACTACTGCAGGAACCGCAAGGTTGGTGTCTCAGTACTTAAGGATCACGAATACTGTCACGTGCAAAGGATTCGTTATCAGGGCAGAGTTCATAAAATTAGTCGTCTTACTGGTAGGGCTCGGGCCGTGCTTCACAGGCTAGCAAAGCGAAAATCCCAAATCAGGCGAATCCTCAGGAAAGCCAAGCGAATTATGTGGCATTACAAGCCTTGCGTCAACAAGAGGTTGGAGTTTCCTCAGAGTTCCTCAAGCATCGGTTGTCTTTCTGAACCTGCTGTCCCTCCTGCTAAGGCAGAAGACGACCCCACGAAGGGGACATGCGGGGCGTTTTGTTCTCCTGCAAAGCAGGAGGCTCTGCGCCCCCAGCCTCAGAGCGAGGGTGGGTCCCACGGGGGGACATCAGAAGCACTTCGCGCCCCTGTGGTGTCTTTCGAACCCAGGGCTGCACCCCCACCCTCAAATGCAGTTGCAGAGCTGACGAGGGAAGCGACGCACCCCAAGGCGTCCGTGCACTGCGAGGCGCAGAGGGCACAGCTGATCCGGAGCCCTGACGTTCAGCAAAATGTTGAAGGACGTGAACTCGTTAATCCAAATTATGTATCGCTGCGTGATGCGTACAAAATGGTGATGCGGACTGTTGACCACATGTTGGACTCCGTATGCCAGAACTTTGAGCTTGGTGGCTACTCTCAGTGCAAGGATCTCTGGCCCGTCGTCATTCAGATAGACAGCTGATCGCCCGCAGCAGGTCAGCCGCGACTCTTCCGCCTGTCGAGGTGAACGGTTGGGACCTTCTTCCCTGCAGCAAAACCCACTGAAGTGGTTTGAGAGAAGAAACGCTGTGAAAGGTGTACGCAGGCGGATTAGCGGGTATAAAACTCGGTATGCGGCGCCTGCTGGGGAAACTGGGATTGTCTGGGAGGCTTCGGGGAAAAGGCAAAGGGAAAGATCAGAGTGGATAAAGGAGGAAGCACGGGAAAACGGAGCGAAGGGGGAAGGCCGGGCAGCCGCCTGTGAGCAGGCAGCTGGTCGGTACGTTTTCTGGCCGAGCTGTGCCTGATCACTGCGGTCTTTCCTGTCTTCTCATTAAACTGTTTTAAATAATTGTCTGTGTCGTCACACTCTCTGGTCTGTCCATCTGCGTGCGGGCTGCGCTCGCAAACAAAGGAGCAGCTGCTCACCGGGGCCAGGCGGGGCGGGAGCCCCCGGGGACTTCGGGGCACTGAACTCGGCTGCCGTTAGTGCTTCGCTCTGCCTGATGCAGGCAGCGTGCCCGGCTTTCTGACTTTTCACACTATTAATTTAAGCAGAGTGAACGGAGAGAAATTCTTAGGGTACAGTATTAAAGGGGGACTTGTTTTTTGATGAGACTTTGCAGCTATCACTTTAAAAAGCAGGTGGGGATGTACCGTGGGGAACCCTGCAGTGTTGTCTTTCTAAAACTACTGGAAAAAAGCATCATTCAGCAGATCTCTGTAATGAGGACGCTGTTACGGCTGCCGGCAGAAGACTGGTCCCTGACCAGGAGGTGAAGCTCCCTGAACTCAACCACGGGAGGTGCCAGGAGGAATTGCTGGATGCGTGGGACGCTGGCGAGGGAAGCGGCAGCAGCTGCAGGCAGTGCCGTGTGGGCGGCTGGGCTTCGCTGGTGGTCACGGGGGAGCTGAACCCCCCAGGTGAGGGAAGGGGGGACTGGGACCTTCTGGAGAGAAGGGTCTTACAAGACCAACAGTGCCTAGGGAATCACAACGCTC